AAGAATTGAACCACAGCCCAGGAGACCAGCCGGCTTCACACGGTCGATGCCTCCAGCAAAGTCAAACCAGCCGCCGCTTCGACTGTCCTCTTTGTCCCCTTGAAGGAGGAATTCCCTCTCGAGACAGAGGAGCCTACATTGCCCGGGGCCTGGCCAGCTGCTGTGGCAGCTCACGGCTCTCCGGCTGCTTGGAGTTGGGTGAGGAGAATCCCAGAGTCTCTGGCAGGCTTGACCAGTTGTCGGCAGAGCCTCCTAAAACTGTTTGGAGCTGGTGAAAATGTTGTCTGCAGTGTTGCTCTTGGTGTGTGGGGTGTAGCTGTTCCCCAGCAATGTGGAGAGGAGGCTGTGTGAGTTGGCCAGCCCTGGTCCTAACTGTACAGCTTGAGACGTCGGGCTGGATTGCCTGTTGTGCCTCTCCTTTCACTTCGTGGCCACGGCAGTGCCTCCTCCGCTCACTCTCATACATCCTACACAGATTCCTCACTTTCTCCCTCCAGCATCGGGTGTAAGAAAGATGTTTCTGTTGTCCTGCTGTTGCATTTGTCTTCCTGTCAACTTTGTATTTTATTGAGATATTTCTCTGAGAGCCGAGGGTTTCTCATGCTTGCTTTGAGACCAGTGATGGGCAAACCAGGCTGCCTCTTCCTCTGGATAGGTACAACCTGGATTGGTTGTGTTTTGCCACATGTACTGGGTATCTCTGGGTTGGAGCTGCTGCGGCAGTCTGGCTGGTACGAGTTTGAAACAAAAAAATTCATGCTGAGAAGGTTGGCTGGCAATTAGGCGCTGGGTGCCGTACAAATGCCAACACCATCACTGCTAATCCTGGCTCCTGAGAGACACTTCAGGACAAAGATAGTGGCTTTGAGAAGGGCCTCTGAACCACATCGTCAGCCACTGGTGAGGATAATCGGTAAGTGCTGTGCTGTATCCTCTGGGGGACGTAGGACCCTCAAGATGCAGAGCCTGAGCTGTGCGTTAGAGAACTCTGTGCTGCATGCCCTACGGCCAGGAGCCTGCTCTAGCTCTTCTCCCAGAGCGTAGTGCTGGTGCAGCTCATGAGGGGCTGGGTGGGTGACTGGAGAGCCTGCATCAGGCTGAGCTTTGTACTGGACTGATCTGAGGAGAAGGCTGGTTTTCCTGGCCTCTCTGCATTTTGGGGACGGTTGGCACATCCTGTTTCCGCTTGGCAACTTTGGGGAGGATGATATGGGCTTTAATAACTCCGATCTAGAGCAGAGATGTTAGAGCCTGAGGGACTGTTCTATGTCACCGAGACCCGTTGTTGTCTTTTGTCTCTGTAGCCCATTGAAAAGCTGGTGGCTCTTCTGAACACCCTTGACAGATGGATCGATGAAACTCCACCGGTGGATCAGCCTTCTCGTTTTGGGAACAAAGCCTTCAGGACCTGGTACGCCAAACTAGACCAGGTGAGCATGTTTTTCACGTGTAGTGTTACGTGCAGTTCCTACAGACAGGCAGCGTGCCCAGCAGAGGTAGGAGAACTGTTCTGTCATTGAGTGGCAGCCAGGCAGCCTACAGAGGAGTTGCTCAGATAAGGTGTGAAGGATCCACCTCTTGATATGCCTCACTTACCCCCGATCTGGTGCTGTTTTCTGTTTTTAGGAGAGCATATGGTCCAAGTAAATGCACTTGGCTGGGTCTCCAAGTCCTGTCTGAGCCATGAGGGCCCTCCAAGCCCAAGGAACTGCTTTGCTCTGTGTCTGCTAGCTGACACACAAAATCAAAGGAGGGTTGTGAAACTGCTCAACTTTCTTCAGCTCGGAGCACTTGCCCTGCACCGAGCTCAGGAGGTGACACAGGCACAGTCCGAGCGACAGTGAGCTTGCGGGTGGTCTGCTGCTCTATTAATGCTTTTGTCCTGGAGGTGATTCAGTAACTGGATTGATGTACTGCGATGGTGAAGCTTTTTATTTCCTGCAGCATGTGTGTGGCCTGGATAAGTGTCAGGACAAGCTCTCTCAGAATATCTCCATCTCTGGAGATGGCTTCGTCAGCAGGAGAGTTTGCTCCTCTGTCATGCTGGCTCGGGCCGTTGCAGGAGTGCACCACTGCAGCTCCCACTCCGCAGCAGCATCTGAGCAGGGGGTGACTTGTTCCTGCACTCACTCCAGGGAGTCTTTTGTGCCTTTCAGGAAGCAGAAAAGTTGGTGGCAACAGTGATTCCCAAGCATTTGGCTGATGCTGTGCCAGAAGTGGCCGTGTACCTGAAGGAATCCGTGGGGAACTCCACCCGCATTGACTATGGCACAGGTAGACTCGGGCATGCCTGCTGGGTGGGACTGGACTCCTTTGGGTGATGACCCTTTGGAGTCTGGTGCTGCATTTATTGAAATACGTTATTGCCACTATATTTAGTGCCAGGTTGAAATGAACACCTTCCTTCTAGGGGCTCCTCGCCCCGATATCCAGTGTGGGCTGTAACTGAGGGAGCTGGGAGCAGGGCTGTGCTAGAGCTGTGACACCCTTTGCACATCTCATCGGAGGAAATGTGAACCAAGCTGTGCAAACTCTTCTGAGACAAGCTGCAGGAGCCGCTTTACCACCTGCAGCAGTCCTGCACGTGCTGATCTGCAATAGGCAGTTTGGAGGAGTAAAACAGAATTGCTTGACTTGGAACTAGAGTGGGAATCAAGTTTGTGGTCAGTGGGAGGTGTCTTGGGGTCTGGTGCTCCCTAGAAGTGACATCACTGCTTACAGAGGGGCTTAGAAATCTGAAGGTAGGAGCATTTTGCACCTAAGCGGATACTGAATTGCAGGTTGATGTAACCAAAGTGCCTACAGTTAGACCTAAATCCAGAATTGTGTGCGTGGTCTGCTCCTCTGTCTGGAGGACAGATGCATCCTCACCAAAAGGCAGGAGAGCAGGATGCTGTGGGTGCAAGGAAACACGACGACTGTCGAACCTGGGCGGAGAGAGGAAGAGGTGGACGTGGATTAAAGGATGAAGAGCTGGAGGCTGTGCACTGCTTGCCAGGAAAGCTGCGGCTCGCTGGCACCAGGGGGAGATGTTGTCTTTGGAAAGGGACCTGCTGGCTGGGGTTTTGTCAGCTGGGGAGGAAAATTCAGCCTTTCCTCCCCTCCTTTGTGTCCCAGGACAGAGGTCCGTGTCCTGACTCACAGTGGCTGCACTGTAGGTACACTGTTCTTACACTGGGAGCTGCACTTCTTCATAATGTGGAGCTGCTGATCTTGTACTCTCCCTTCTTCTGTGGCTACTTCCACCAAAAGATACTTCTGGGTTTGCTGGTTGTTTCTTTTCCTTGCTGTTAGCCGAAGGACCAAGCTACTTTCTGGGACGAACTGTTCCTAACAGTGTCATGGGATCTGTGTCCTTCTGACAGGGAGATATTTTTGATGTAGGAGGAAATCTGTTTACTTGCAGCTGTGAGGTTCTTTCCTATCCCCTGAGCGGATGATTCTGCGGTGCTCTGCTTCCCCTGCTCTGCCAGGCACCGGGGAAAGGCCCTGCCGTGCTCCCAGCATGCCCGCTGTTGGAACTGCTTTTCCTCAAGAACTTATTCTTTTCTCAAAGTTAATAATCTTCTTATAAATGTCTAGAAAGTGTACTTTGGGTGGGTGCTGCTTGGGGTTGAAGTACTGTCAGGTCATGGTATTAGTAGGGACGGTAGGGTTGGGGCTTTTCAGATGGGACTGTAGCTGCTGTGATTTCTGAAGAGCCCTTGTGGTGCCTGCAGAAAGGTTTTCTTGGGGACCAGAGACACCCGTGTCACGTGTCTTCATGTCTTTTAACTCCAGGGCATGAAGCTGCATTTGCAGCCTTTCTCTGCTGCCTCTGCAAAATCGGTGTGCTCAGAGTGGATGACCAGATGGCCATTGTCTTCAAAGTATTTAACAGGTGAGGAAATGGAAGGAGAAGGGCTGGAAGCCTTGGGCGGGTCCCTGACAGTGTTCCCTTCCAGCTGTCTGAGATGTGTGAGATGTTCCTGCCTGTTCTGTATGCCAGACTCCTGATTGTGCTCCCTTCCTTCCTCTCGTCCACGCTCATTTGGGGGTAAGAAATTGTAAGAGGAGCCTCCTCCTGGGGTGTGAGCTGGGCAAATCAAGGGCCTTCTGCAAACACGTATTCGTAATTAGAGAGTGTGAGTGCTGAAGGGGTTGCTGGCCTAAGGAAAACAGTCGGAGTGGGAAAACTGAAGACAAATTTAGACAAAGTTAGGATTAACGGATAGTACGGTGACCCATTAGAACTACTCCCTAAGGAGGTGATAGCACCCTGTTTTTTAGAGGATGAGTGTCTTTCTGGAAAGTTACTTCAGTTGAGCACAAGTTACTGAGCTCACTGGGTGAAGCTCTGAGCTTTGTGATAGACAGGAATGTCTGATCAGAGGATTTAACATCTCTACTGCTGCTCTAGGTGTGTTTCCAGCCCAGGAGGTCAAGTTGGTAGTGATGAAACTGGTGGAATGGGTGTTTGGAGTCCAGAGATCTAATCCCACCTGTATCACTGTTTGGTGGCATGGAAAAAATTCCCTTCAGTAGTACTTCCAGCTTTAATTTCCCACCTGAAACAGCGATTGCCGTAACATGGAAAGCTTTCTGAGCATTTTTGAATGTTGTCGGAGGAGAGCGAAGTGTCGGTGTTTTCACATAACAATGGGTGTGGGGGAAGATCCGCACCAACCTAAGACACTGCAGATAAAATAAACCTCTGCCACTTATTAGTCAATATGGTGTAAAAAAAACAACGAACCAACTACCCAGTTTAAAAAGGTGCTGGTATTTGCTGCTGTACGTACCATCAAGCTGCTTTCAGTGACAAAGGAGCTGAATATATATTCTATGTACTGTGCTGTATGTGAGGGTCCTACCTGCAAGTGATGAGGTTGTGTCCTCCTCCAGACTGGTTGTTCTTGTCCTCCTGTAAGCCAGTGAAGACAGAAGAAGACCTCGTCCTGACCCTTCCTTCTCTCTTTGGTCTCAGGTACCTAGAAGTGATGCGAAAGCTTCAGAAGACCTACAGGATGGAACCTGCTGGCAGCCAGGGCGTGTGGGGCTTGGATGACTTCCAATTTCTACCTTTCATATGGGGCAGTTCCCAGCTGATAGGTACTAATAAAAATCCTCTCGTGTTCCAGCCTGCCCCCTGCCCCATCTGTCGAGGTTGTAAAGATGATAGGGCTTGGGTTGACTTTTAAATTCAAATATGTCAAATCTGTGCATGATACAGCAGAGGAGTTTGCTTGGGGCTCGATTTTTTATTTTTTTTTCCCCTCAGCTTTACAAATAAACCTAGTTGCTTAGGTTGGGAGATGGAATGCTTCCTTGTATAGTATGTCTGTCATTATTGCAATGACTACAAGCTTCTTGAAAGAAGAGTCTTGTTTTTGGTGCTAGAAAACACATTTTTTGCCTTGGGGGGTTTACCAGGTGCTCTCACTGCTGAAGCACTGGAGTGGGAGATGAGATGGAACGGAGCAGCTCTGTGCTGACTTCTGAAGAGCTCCAAGGGGAGGAATGTGTTTCTTTTGGAAGAGGGACAGAACCAGACCTGATTGAACTTGGTCTCAGAAGTGGGGTGCCATACAGGTTACTTCCTATTGTCTTACTCTTTTTAGACCATCCAAATCTGGAGCCTCGACACTTTGTTGAAGAGAATGTGGTAAATGAAAACCATAAGGACTTCATGTTCCTGGAGTGCATCCTCTTCATTACAGAGGTAAGGCCTGGAAGGTTTGCCCTGTGGAGAAGTTCTCTTGACATTAGATACCTGGCTCTGGCTGTGGTTTTCTCTTCCTCCTTTGCTTGTTTGTTTGCTCTCATGGAACTGTGCAAATGAACCGTTGTTGCATGTCTGAAGTGCTCTCCTTGAATGAGTTGAGACAGGGCTATCAAGAGGAAAGTATAATTAAGCTAGATGGGCTGTGGATGGCAGTTGAAGGGAGCTGTAACAAGAGCAAACAAATAACCTTGGATCATTACTTGGGCCAGTCAGCGGGAACTTGGATGGAGAAGACCGGAGCCTGCAAGTGCATTAGAAAGATGAAGCAGGAGCTGCAAAACGACTGGGCTTGCCGAGATAACCTCCCTGCCCTCCGGCCGCCGGGTGCTGCCTGGCAGGCCCGGGGCCTCCTTTGCTTAGGGCAGACTCCCAAGCCTCCATGCAGCGTGGTCTCCTCCAGATTCTACCAGAAAAGGCGTCCATTAAATACGTCTTATTTGCAGACTATCCAGAGCAGAGAAGGTGCTGAGATGCACCCAGCTGGCAAGTCAGGACCGTGTTTGTGCTCCAGCACTGTAGGGCCGTTGGGTGAGGGACTGATGATGTTCAGCTCCTTGCCAACTGGTCAGTGGTGTTTCTCAATGGGGGAGCTCGTGGCTTTCTGCTCTTAGCTGCAGTGGGAGATCTGGCCGTGGTTTTACCGTGCCCCTTCCTACGCAGTCTGGGCAGGGAGAGCAAGAACCACACGCTCCGTTGTGGTGAGGGATTTCTTGTCTCTGGCAAGAGAGAGTCGATGGGATTAATTTTGAAGGACAGAACGCGGTGCTCCCCCTTTGTTCTGTTCTCTTTCCCCCTGCTCCTCGCCTCTCTAATTTAGTGATTAGATGAGAAGGGAGGCTACAGAATATCAACTTATGCTTTCATGTAGGAAATTTTCATGGGAGCTTTTGGTGCAAACCCCAGGAGGTGCTGTGCCAAGTCCCGCTGAAGC